AGTTTTTTTTCCCCATAGCAAGTATACTAATAATCCTATAGCTACATGATATTTCAGCTCAAACTGAGTTTTTCTAGCTTTCTGGTGAGAGCATATCGTTCCGACATAGATTTCATATTTAATGAATTTATTGCTTGTCTCCAGTTATGATGGAACGTTAATGATAAATTTTAGACGAACAGAAATCATATGGCAAAAATAGGTAAGTTTTTATTTTGAATCGTTTGTATGTTTTGTTTTTGCTCTTTTTTTTCACAAGTTTCATTGATATCAAAACTATCGTATGATATTTAGAACGATTTGTTTTTGAGAAAAGCTTTTCTTTTTTTTCTTTTACAAAAAATATTATAATAATATTTTTCTCTAGGAAAATTACCAATTATTGATTCCGATGGTAATCTTGTATCATTAATAGCTCGTACAGATTTAGAAAAAAATCGTGATTATCCATTAGCATCAAAAGATAATCATCGACAATTATTATGTGGAGCTGCTATAGGTACACGAAAAGATGATGAAAAACGTCTTGAAGCTCTTGCACAAGTTGGTGTTGATGTTATTGTACTTGATTCATCACAAGGAAATTCTATATATCAAATTGAAATGATTCAATATATTAAAAATGTTTATCCAAACATACAAATTATTGCTGGAAATGTTGTTACACAAGCACAAGCAAAAAATTTAATTGATGCTGGTGCTGATGCATTACGTATTGGTATGGGTAGTGGATCAATTTGTATTACACAAGAAGTTATGGCTGTTGGACGAGCACAAGCAACAGCTGTTTATAAAGTCAGTGAATATGCACGTCGATATAATGTACCTGTTATTGCTGATGGAGGTATATCATGTGTTGGACATATTGTTAAAGCCTTAACATTAGGTGCTGATTGTGTTATGATGGGATCATTATTAGCTGGTACACATGAAGCACCAGGAGAATATTATTATCAAGATGGTGTTAGACTTAAAAAATGTAAGTAGAAAACAAAAAAACAAAATATTGTATTAATACAGAACAAAAAAAAATCTCTATGAAATTTTTAGTTGATTATACGGTAAAGTAAATTGAAAATTTTTCATAATATCACTGATGTTTTCATCAATATAATATATTTTTACACGAATACTAATTATTCTGATAGATTAACGAAAATAAAAGTGAAATCATCATTGTTCTTTCCAACAATGCCCACTATAAGGAGATTTTACTGTATTTCTCATCGATATAATAGATATGTAGCTTTTTATTTCTATATATTTTCGATTAAATAAATTGTAATATATATATATATATGTTTCTTTTTTTTTTTTGTTTTCATAGATCGTGGTATGGGTAGTCTTGATGCAATGACTGCATGCCAAGAAGCATCTGCTGCTAGTCGATATTATTCCGAAGCAGATCATATTAAAGTAGCTCAAGGTGTTTCAGGTAGTGTTGTTGACAAGGGTAGTGTTCATCGATTTATTGGTGGTTATCTTTATACTGGTGTACAAAAATCTCTTCAAGATATAGGTTGTCAATCACTTGAACAATTACATCAAGGATCAACTCAAGGAATAATTAAAGTTGAAAAACGTACAGCTGCAGCACAAATTGAAGGTGGTGTACATAATTTACATTCATTTGAAAAACGACTTTTTTAAAAAAAAAAACAAAACAAAACAGATTTAATTTCGATATTGAAAGAAAAAAACCACAGAGAAATTGTTTATATTTATTTATTTTTGTTGTTGTTGTATATATATTTGTATTGTAATTTTATTGTATTGTATTTAATCATTCCGGCGTTTTATCTTTGCAATCAATCCAGATTTTTATTTCAGTTAATTATGCCTTTTATTCGTTTCTATATTTAAGTATACATTTGTATACAAGTTCAAAACTAAAGTGAGAATATGTGTTTTTTTTTTGTTGTTGTATCAATTAATGCGAATGTCAGAAGTATAAATATAATACTAAGTTAAATAAATGGGTTAATTATACATTCATGCTTTGTTGATCTTTTTGTTCAAGAAATAAAACGAATAAATTATTCGTGTTATTCAAAATATAGGAATCGGATATAAGATTAGAAAGTTTACAAGATAAAGTACTCAAAACGAATGGATGTACGATATTTAATGAAAAAACTTCGACTGAACATCGGACATATGATCAACACTTGATGTTGTGGGCGCCCTAAACCGATGCATTGATCGGCGACGAGGGCTAGATTTATTCTAACTTGTGTCCTCTGTCGACAACGGCTATAAAAATCTGAAGCTTTCGCAGTGGTTGAAATTTTTCGATGAGTTTCTTTAAAATTTTCTTAATTTTGAGAGATTTTAAAATAAGAAAGAAAGAAAACGATGGTAGAGAATTTATTGACAAGAAACCAGACGATAACATTTCCAAAAACTGATTTGGGACATCGGAAATTTCGACATGTCAAATATCTGTTCTTGTGTCGCGACAGCGACGGCTCAGCCGAACATCTTTCAAGCATTAAATTGAATTTTCTCGTTTTAACAAACGTCTTTCGTACGCTGACTTATTCAAGGCAAAAGTTACTCTTTCAGTATACACTTATTAGTATATACGTTGCTGATTCAGTGTAGCTGAATTATGCTTAAATACTTTTTTTAATTCTTAGTCAGGTTAAAATTACAAAAGAGAAACTAGTTAACGTGAACCTCAATATTCAGCGAATAGACTTCTTTTCAATAGTTGTTAAAGTGATCTTATGCTTAGTAAATGATATTAATTTGAGTACGTTTCATTGTATCTAAAATTCAATACGTTGAAGCATTTTAGCAATTGTTTATTAGGTAAAAGAAATTGATAATAATGTTACAAATTCGAGATTGAAAGTTGTTAACAGTACATGATGACAATAATTGTCGAATAATTTTCTTTTTTTGCTTTTACCTTTTTAACATATGATTTCCTATGGTTTTCTGAACAATTTCATGCAGCATCTTTGGGGTAAAAGTTCAGTTCGAAACAATGAGAAATAGTAGACATATTAAGGAAATATTGAAAAGCTCATTTGTTCTACCACGCCCGTTATACAGGTAATACATCAATAAAATAAAATCATTTCAAGACTACATGACAATGACATATTCATCATACACTAATCAATTCTATTCAAGTCAAATGAAACTAAATAACAACAATTTTCTAACACATTGCTACTCTATCACATAGAACAAAGTTATCTAGTAATATTTTACGATATGAAAAAAAAATTTGTTTTTTGAAGTAAAAATTATTGTTAGATATTGAAATCATGAATTAACATATAAAAAATTGACTTGATCGTATGAATTTAAATGATACTTTGTTTTTAGAAACACTATATATTATTAAATATCTGTTGAAGTATTACTAAACAATCTTTGTTTTCAATGAATAATACTTTTATAACTATATCATTCATTGTTTATATCATGTAAAAAGAAAAGCATGAGTTTCTATTTGTTCGCTTTTCAAGACAATCTTTTTTTTTTTTTATCTTAAAAGGGATCAAACAAAATTTTGTTTATTTTCTTTGTATTCAACATATTGTTCTTTTTTTTTGTTTATCATATTGATATTTAATCAAGTCTTATGTCCATATATTCAAATCATTTGAACAAAAAAGACTTTCAATGTTGATCTCCGCTTTATAATGAGAAACAGAGTACACATGGTATCGTCTATCATCTTTCTTTCACGTCATCTCTATGTTCAAGATGCTCTTCTCATATTCTTTTTTTTTTTTCTTTCTTCTCATCACATATCATATGAACTATCAAATAAATGTCGATTCCCACGATCGATTGAACACATTCTATTCTTCTTATTCGACAACAAGGAAATGAACACATGAGAAGATGTTTGTGTATTGTTAACGCCAATATTTTAATTGCTTTCCTTAACCGACACACACACATAAAACAGATATACAAATATATTGAATATCGATAGTTTTTCTAAGGCGTGTCGAAAAATGTGTTATATTGAATATTTGAAACACTAATCAAACTATGTCATCTAAATGAAAGATTATTCATTTGATAGACAAGAAAGAATGTTAGAATTGAAATAATTCAAAAAAAATTAAATATGTGAAAAATTTCATAATGAAATTTTCATTAAAATTGAATTTTTTTCTTTTAATCTTATACGATTATTTCAAATTAACAATCATTAGATATTTTTAAAGATTAAGTCTTTCAATTCATTTAACAAAGCTAAATTGTGATAATCTTTAGAGATTTATTAAATGATCTTTTTTTTCTTTGACAAACACGCACATAACCGCCGATATATGTCTAATATAGATAATTGGAATGAATGCATTCGATTCATCATCAAAACTATCCGCCATCGCATGATATTGTCTGTCTACTTCATTATCACGGATATCCGATAGCGGCTTTGTGTCGTTTTTTTTCTTTTTGTTTCTTCTTTGTGTTCATTCTCATGAACTGTCTTCTACTTCAGATATTCTAATTATTTCTGTTGTACTATTAGAAATTGTTTTGTTATTATTCCGTATTTTGGCAAAGTTTTTTTCTTTTTATTTATTTGTTGATATCAACACTTGTCTGGTTGCTAAGCAAGCAGCTGAACATATATATTTTTTCGACGGTTGAACGTCCGCACACGTTCATACTCTCACATATGCTCATGAACATTGTCGTCTTAAGATTATGCATACAATGCGGACGACCAGAAAGTGAGAGAAAGAGAGGAGAGAAGAGAAGAAAAGTATAAAGAAAAACATAGCGATCGAGCACGAAAGAGAGAGAGAAAGATTGTCCAATTTTTTTTGTCTGTTCTCTCATTTTTTTTTTGTTTCATAGACATACGCTCGCGTTTTCTCATTCTTTGCTACCATTGACCGCCACCCGTCATCATCACTACAAATGAAACAACAGTTTTTATAAAAAAAAAAAACTTCTTCATTAATCGTTGATCAATTTATTATTATTATTATTATTATTTTGAAAATATATTCAATAATATGGGTGCTAATGATAGTCCAACAACAACTCGTTCAATTGTAACTGATTATTTCGATTGGCGTTTAAGTAATAAAATAACAACAGATCGTTTATTTTTAATTGTACGTAAAATAGCTAGTGATTGTGAAGCAACTTATCGTTCTCAACAACCAACATTTAATTATCGTTTGTCATCAGCAATTGATTTACAAACATTAGATAATATACGAATTATTCATAATGAAATAGCAAACGAATTATTTAGTGATGGTGTTATAACGTGGGGACGTATTATAACATTTATAGCATATTCAGCTGTGTTAGCTGAACATATTATACAACAATTAAACAATAATAATTTATCACCAAATTTAATTAAATCAACTATTATTGATTGGACAACAGATTTTATTGATTCTAATCTTCAAACATGGCTTCAAAGTCAAAATTATTGGGTAAAAGAATTTTCTTTGTCAAAAAAGAAATATATCAAACTTTTGTTTTTTCTTTGAAAAGGCTGGCTGTTTAAAATTTTATGATAAAGCACTACAACGACGAAATTCAATTGGTCGTTATGCTGGTATACTTGGAACTATCGGTTAGTATTTGACCTTTGATAACAATATTAAAAAAAAAATATTCTTATTATTCTATATACATTAATCGAATAGAATCCTTAGAAAAGGCGTGTCACATACGACAGGTGATTAGATATGTGTTAGAATAACAGATTAGTAGCAAAAGGCACGTATGCGTGACAACATTATGCCTTTGGGAGGAGAAGAACTGAGTCCAATAGACAGATGTGATATATATTGAGAGGATAATAGCTTTTGCTCTAACATACAAGTAATAGGGACAATCTATTAAACAATCAAGATGCATGAATCTTCATTCTTCCCACCTACTAGGCTAATGTGATAACGAGCATAATGTATATATGTACTTTATCCGGTTTGAAAGAATAAAAACTAATTATATGTGAACAGCATGATATATTCATCTTTTGTTTTCTTATAGGTGTGCTCACACTCGGCGCTTTTTATATGAGACGAACTTGAAATACTTTGCTTTTTCTTGTTTTTTGTTTAACTGTTTTGTTCCTTTGTAACAGTGATTCTTTGCTTTTGTTTTTTTATTACCATTGTTGTTCTTCTTGTTTTGTCAAATATATATCTGAGTTATAATGTATGTATAGATACATGGGATATAAATGATTAGTTAAAAGATAATTTCATTGTTTGACTTTTAATATTTATATGAAGATCTTTCTGATAGAAATTCATGATATTTATTTTTGTTTGTTTATCAGAATATTCAATGAATCTATCCATCTATCATGCGGTGTTTTGTATGTTGTTGATCTCAATCTTGGACGTATAAATATACATATGAAGAAAGAGAAGATGACAATTAGAATGTATGGATTGAAATCAATGAATTCATTTCATGAATTCAAAATTATTTGTGAGAATAAATGACAGTTGTGTGCAAGTTCTTTTCTTTGTTTTTTTTTGACAAGGATATTTTTATTTTCAATGATAATTAGCAAAGTTTTCATTCAAGTGCATAAAAGAATAATGTTGGTTGGTTTAGAATTGTACATTTATTCAAGATAATGATTCGATAATTGGATACAATGATCGTAAAGTGGAAATAAATTTCTATAACATTTCTGTTCTATATATAAGACAAAATCTAGAAAGATGATGCGTTTTTTTTAGGCAAAAACAAAAGGACAATAATCAATTGAATTAAATGAATATTTTAGTATGAAGTCTTCAAACTGTCGAATTGGAATTTTTGTTTGCGAAATATACACAAATATTCATGACGTCGAATAATAACAGCCAAATCTTTCAAGATTTCATATTCTGCTTATACACTTCTGTTAGAAGTGTTTTGCGGAACTCACGTATATTTTCGAAGAAAATAATAGCGAATAGAAGTTTAAATTGAAGTTTTTGCAGCTCTCCCATTAGAGTCAGTTGGGTTGGACTCAGTCGGTTTGTGATCTGAAAACTTGGAACACGATGGACTCCACTCTATACTTATCTCAGACGGCTTGGGTGAGAAATATGTAGGGTGCACGAGTCATCGAGTACAAAAAATCGGCAAAAAAGTATTTACTATCTTCGAAGCAGCTATTCTATTCTGATCAGAAAATTTCGTTGCAAGTATCATAATATAATTCAAGTGGATCTGAACACGTTTGATCAACTTGATCTGGGTCTCAAAAGCGCTCAGTTGATCAAGTCATGATCTGGAATTTTTTGATCTAATGGGCTTTACCTTCCTCCTTCCTCAGACCCTAGTAAACAGGGTTAAAGGTCATCCACTCTTCTCATTACAGGCCTTCACAGCCGGGATTAAAGACACTTAACGACATTAATAACAAGACTTAGGAGGTTCTAGAACATTTCAGAATCATAATTGAAATTAAAATGGCTTGCAAATGTTTTACAATATTCCAAATGATGTAGTTTCGAATTTTTGCGCAGAGAAACGATTATATAAGAGATATCAATGATTTTACTTTGATTTCTCACAACTGTCATATGACTAACAGAACAACATGAACTGATCAAATTCTAGCTTTCTGAAATGATTAATTTCAATCTTTTTGAGTTTACCAAGATACATAATAGATCGTTAAAGTCTTTCGTAGACATAACAAGCTTATTTATTCATTACATCAGTGATTAGAATGATAGTAAATTATGAAAATACCATAAAAAAGACAATAAATATCATGCGAATAGTAACAAGACAAATAAAGCAAAAAGACCACCAGTCAAAAAAAAAACATATCTGTTCGAAATGTAGAAATAAAAAAGACAACATTTGCTGACAATAGATTGTCATTGCAAAAGAACTATAGTCTTTTAGGGATTTTACACTTTGCATATTTTTTATTAGTATAATGAAGCTAAATAAGACATGTGAGTTCCACATTTCAGCTCTAAAGAGGTTGTGCGAACAAGTTCATTTTTTTTTTATTGAATTCAATCTCTAGACTGTCACCTATTATATGATAAAATGTAATTAAGTAATTCAAAGTTGTATCAATTGTTTTTATTATATAAAATCGATGTAGATTCGAATTGATTAGTATTTCTTTTACAAGCAATATACAAAGATGATTTGTTATTAGAATCAACATCATGAATTCTGGACAATCAAATACATTAAAAGAACGAGAAACTATCAAACACTTGGTGAAGTTATCGTTTTTTTTTCTTTTCTATAGAACACTACAGTTTTGAATAGCATACGATTAATCTTGTATGTGGACAAAATGTTTTATAGCAGTACTCCAACAAATATTGGAATATAAAATAAGTAGATGAAGATTAAAGAAATAGAGAAGTATTTGAAATGAGTAAGAAGTTTGATAAAAAAAAGGAGAAAAAGATTTTTTTCTGTTATAAATACTTCCAATTGTTAAATATAAATATTATTTCTGTCTATGAATAAAATTAAATTTGATATTGTTTATAAACGGTTGTTTCTAAATAGAATAATATAGAAAATGCTTTGTTCTAGGGTTTTTTACAATTAGTTTCTATCAATATGAAAAAAATCAAAAATATTTGATAAATTTAACAATTATATATTTTCATTGGTAAAAAAAGAGGAAAAGACTTTTATCAAGCTTAATTATTTTGTCTCGAAAATGATGATTCTAAACTTTTAAATTGTGATAGATTTTATTAGACAAATCAATGAATTTTCTAAGTAATAATTCTTTTTTTTTTGTTATCAGATTAAAATCAAACATTGATTTAGTTAAATCTTCGTAAGAGATTAATTGATCAAGGTATTATAAAGAATCTATCGTAAAATAAGTCTCAAACGCATTTACTTTTTAATGATGGCTTGCATTCGAAAAATGTATCTTATCACTATTTTATAGGTGAAAAAAAAAATTATATGAATAATCAAAAATCGGTTATAATCTAGTTGAATTATGCTTTATGATTTGGTTTATATGAAAAACAAAAGGAGTTTGACACACTCAAGACACTCAAACTATGATATATAATACTGTTTGCCTCTTTTATTACCCTTACGAACTTGTGTCTATTAAGATTTTTTTCTCTATAACTCAATTCTTATCTTATTGATCAAACATCGATATACGTTGGGGTTACTTTTGACAGTCGCATTTATTGAAATATTATCAATTCGTTCGTCGATTAAACTTGAAAAATAGAAAATGGGTTGTGGTGCAAGTACAAAACGAAATCAACAAGCTTCTCCACAAAAATCGCCAACGTTGTCGGCTAAATCAACGTCAGAAAGTCGAAAGCGATCGGTATCAGAGCGTCTACCACGATCGATTAATGCTTCGCCCCGTTCAAGCTCAAATCAGAATCGACAACCTTCGACGCATAAACGATCGGAGCATGATCAAGAATCATTCGAACATAGGCGCCTATCGAACCAAACAAACAATTCAGATGAACTTGAACGACATGAAAATCCTACTCCAAGTATTTAAAATCAGCTTGAATGAAAACTTCATTAAAATTATAAATATTTATCTATATTTTAGATGATGAACTGAATAATAATACTATTGGAAATAGGGATCATCACTCATCGTCATCATCATCATCATCACCTACGGACAATCCGATTAATGGAACAAAATTACATTCAAGAACACAGTCTTTACATACGGATTCTCCACAGGCAAATGATATACATCGAAAGGATTCGCGTTCTGTATCTAAATTAAGTAGAAATTTAGATGGAAAAATTTCTGTCACATCACTTCAACACACTGGTATCTGTCAGTATTGTCCACATTGTCAAAAAGTGAAAAATGGAAAAATACCGCCGATTCCAGAGCTAACATGGATTACAAAAAATCCAGGTGTTGGTGAATTTGTAATTAAAATGGATAACTATGATACTGACGCTATTAGAAAAAAACTTATTTCGGAATATGGTCATCTTCCTGGTTGTTATGATTATCAACCTTATCTAACAATTGAACCAACTAATGATAACGATGATGGAAAAGAAAATGATTATTATACACAACCATTTGTTGCTCGTAAAAACTCGATTATTTCACCTTTGCATACTCCATTTCCACAATATGATATTCTGCAACGTCAAGAACAACGTTTAAACAAACCCCATGAACCGACATTGTTCGTTGATTAACTTCGTTTTTTGCTTTGGTTCATTATTCAGCAAAAATAAAATGTACTGACACTCTTTTCTTTCTCTACTTTAAATCTATACATTCACTATTCTAGTAGAATATAAATGCTTCTGAATTTTATCATTATTTTTCAAATACTTTTTTATTTTATACTAATGATCACTAAAGGAATAAATATGAAATATAATAAAATTCTTTTTGTTTTTTTGAAATATACATAGCAACGAAAACTAGATTTTTTATTATAAGTAAGAAGAAAAAAAGTACACACACACACAAATGAATATAATTATTATATTGTTTATTATATTGGTAATTATGCCTAATTATATAGATAACAAATTATTGAATGATTCTATGATTGAATCTCAATTTTTACGTAATCATAAACAGAATATTATTCAAACTCTAATAATCAATCAAAAAAAGCAAAATAAACTATATGAATCTATGAATAACAAAAAAAAAGTTATATTGAAAAGATCTCCTCGATGTGCATCACATTGTCAACCACATGATTGTTGTAGGAAAACAAGATGTTTATGTATAAATGATTATTGGGGACCTGTTTGTTATTGTAAAAAATAATTATTACTAATTTACATAGAATAATACAAAGAAAATTGCGAATCATGTTTTTTTTTTGGTTTTATATTTTTAGAAAACCGTATTTCGTTGAAGATAAATGATCAAGCGTGTAAATTAGAAAGCGAATAAAAATAAACTTTAAACTAATCTTATTAACTATATACCAATAGTCTCTCATCGATTGGAACCACTTGGTTCAATTGATTACTTATCGGTTGCCTTGCTCGTAAATATGAAGATGTCCCGTTGCTAATCTTTCTTTCCTCTCTTTGCGTTCGATTATCTGATTGTCTATGTATTTTGCAAAGAGTTCTTGTTTGCATTTCTGAATAGAACGTTTTTTTTTTCTACATTTCTTTATTATGTCTCTTAGATCGATCTTGATCATTATAGACGAATAAGGCAACGAGACACAAGATTTTATTATTTGACGTGCTTTTTTTCTTGTCATCATCGTTTTTTTTCTTCTTTTTCTTCTTCGAACGAGAAAAAAAATGATCATCTACTCATGAACACAGACTGATAACTATGGGTTTACGTCTTCAAACAATAATGGCTAACAAGACGAATGTATAGTATAATGAAGCTAACTATTATAATAACAATCCTATGAAATCCAGAAAAAATTTTCTTTCATTGCTTGAATGTAGGCTTTTACTTGTTGTAAACGACAGATTTTTGTGACGGTCATAACGACAGCTGATACACATCGTCATCTAATTCTTTTTAGTCATTCTGCTACGAATGACAAATTCAATTAATATACCAACAGTATTATAATAGTTATTTAAATTCATGTCGATTATATTTATACTTATGATTATCATCATTTTGGGTGGTAGTAATTATTTTTTTCCTTACGTTCAAACATCTGAAGATGAAAATCGTCTTATACATTATTTATTTTCTGAACAAGGTTATAATCCACTTGTACGACCAACTCAATATTCAAATGAAACTGTTGTTGTATCATTTGGTCTTTTATTAGTACAATTAATTCATGTAAATATGTTTAAAAATAAAAATATTGATGTACATTGAAATATTGTTCTATAGGTCTATGAAAAAGAACAAATTATGAAAACAAATACATGGTTACATATGAAATGGTATGTTTAAAATTAGAAAATGTATGACAATAGTAGAATTATTATTTTAGGTATGATTCACAATTACGATGGAATCCTGATCGATATGGTTAGAAAATTCTTTTGTTTGAATGATTATGTTTAAAAATGTTTTTAGGAGATATTCGTCAAATTAGTGTTCCTTTTACAAATGTTTGGACACCAGTAAGTTATTTATCTGTCTCATTGTCACAAACTATTTTTCTATCTAATAAAAATTAATTATCATAAAATGAAAGTCGAATTTCGTCTAGAATTGAAACTAATTAGTGGTAAAATGGCAAATCGACAGATATAAAATTTATATTAATCATGAAAAATATAAGGAATACTATATAATTACAATAAATAGAAATATTAGACTATAATAATAATATCTAACATAAGAAAATATCAAATGAACCAAATCATTGATAATTTTGACTAATCGATTGATTTTTTTCCATATAACATAAATTTCTCATAAAAAAAAACTATTCCAACTGTGTTTAGTCGTTTTTTTTCTCTTATAATGTACATATCTATAATCAATTTAGAAAATTAAAAGCAAGCTCTATGCTTAGAGAAATTTTTTTTTTATTACTATTGAAAAACAAAAGATACAGTTTTCTTTTCTTTATCTTTAGGATGTTGTTTTATTTAATAATGCAGGTATGAAGTCACTCTATTTATATATAAAATTTTATTTTATTTTTTATAATTTTAATCAATAGATGGAAATTATGAAGTACCATTTAAATCAAAAGTAGTTCTTGTACATACAGGTGAAGTTCAATGGGTTCCACCAGCTATCTATAAATCTTCATGTCGTATTGATGTAAAATTTTTTCCATTTGATACCCAAGAATGTGAAATGCGTTTTGCATCATGGACATATAATGCTCGAGAAGTAACATTTGCAAATTATCCCGAAGAACAAGAAAAAACAGTTGAAATAAATACATTATTACCACAACAAGCAATCAGTGTAACTAGTGATGAAACATATAAAGATGATTATCTTGAAAGTGGTACATGGGATGTTATTAGTGTATGAAGAATTTTTTTTTCAAGTATTCAAAATAGAAACATAGAATCTGTGTTTTTTTTTCAATTATATAGATTCCAAGTAAATTTGTTCATTATCGTTCAAATGCTTCAAGTTTAGCACCTGATTATATTGAAATAGTTTTCTTAATTAAAATGAGTCGTAAAACATTATATTATACAGTAAATTTAATTGTTCCAACAGGTTTAATGGGTATTCTTATATGTATTGTATTTTGTTTACCTACAGCAGCTGGTGAAAAAATGACATTATGTATGTCAATACTCTTAGCATTAAATCTTTTTCAACTTCTTGTTACAAAAATTTTACCACCAACATCAGCTGTTGTTCCATTAATAGCCAAATATTTACTTTTTACATTTACACTTAATGTTCTTGTTATTGGTAAGAAGAAAAAAAAACAAATTAAGAAAAAGTTTTGTTTTTGTTTTCGTTCATATTTGTGTTTTTTTATTTTATTTTTTTAAGTGAATACAGTAATTATAACAAATTTTTATTATCGTACACCAATGACACATTCAATGCCTTTGTGGTTACGACGTATTTTTTTGCATATACTTCCACGTTTATTATGGCTGGAATCACCAATACTTCGAGAAAGACGTGAAGATTATGAACTTTCATTAGCTGTTAATAATATTGATCAATCAGTTATTCTCGAAAATCCTTTGCATACAATAAATGAAACAATTAATAAAAAGCAAAGAACAAAACCAAACCATGCAGATAAGGTAATCTTTTAACGAAGAAAATTTTAAAAGACTATATGATCATGAGAGAAATACAAATGATTTAAGTATATTATAGAAATGCGATAAGATTCGTCGAAACATTGCTTTGTTGAAATTGATGTTCATTCTAATATTGATGATACGAATATAGAAGTTCACCGTCACTAATGATCCGGTTTGGCGGTGAAACGCTGAAGTGCTGACACTATTAACGTATTTCGTTTTTTGTACTTTTAGTGTTAATCAGTATCGTAAAGTTTTGAAAAGAGTATTTTTTTTTAAAGTAAAAAAGTTTTGGACTACCATTCAAATCTTTCTGCCTATGAATTCGAACGTCAATGATCAATAAATCGACACTATCATATCTCTGTTTGAATATAAACAATTAATAAGACCTTGATGAATGAGCAACAGAGATGAAATTATAGCAGTGCAGTGTTCATCGATGCATCGGTCTTCTGTTATCCGAAAAAATTCAAAATGAAATCTATGATCACTTAAGTTTTATCATGCGTTATCTATCTTCACTATTAGTCTATGCGTTTCGGTCACGACTTTTGTAATGCTCTATTCAAGGTCATTGCATTCCTAGTGAGCAAAGACTTTTCTGCAAGAATTAAATGAATATAAGGAAGCCTTATTTTTGAAAGTTAACAAATTTCTTCTGGTGCAAGTCCATTTTAAAAAATGAACAAAACAAAAAGTAAACAAATGCATATAAGAAAAGATAATTATAGAATTCTGTGTAATTCGACAATTTTATTTTTTTAAACTTATCTTTTCACTCTAACAAAGTTATTATCCACATAGATTTCAAAGAAGATCAGAAAAAACAGATTAAATAAATATTTAAATGCTATTGGGATAAAATCTCAAGTTCACAATATTAAAAAATGATGTTTTCATTTAAAGAACTTGAAACAGGCAAATCAATTATCTTTTTTTTTAGTTTCTCTGAATAAATTTCAACAGACGAAATAGGCTTGATTGTTTACATATTTCATAAATCGTAGTGACAGGTTGTCTACATAAATTTTTTAATAAGTTGCGAGTAATAATAAAGAAAAATCATGCTATAGTATAAAATTCTTACACAAACAATAAGAATCAATGATTTTGTCTTTCAAAAATATTGAATTATTCAACATAATTCTATTTAAGTTAATTTATTTTATAAAGGATCGTCAAATACATCGTGAATCAAATACTTCCTTTCTTGCTTATGTTAATGATAAACGTCGAACATCAACAATTCTTATACCACCAATTTCACATTCAAAACATCATCATCATCATCATCATTATCAAAAAGAAAAACAAAAATTTCTTCTTGACGAAGGAAAACGTCTTATCCCAATTCATTCTAATCGAGATTCTAATTATCATTATCATCGAATACAAATTCAAGAAATGCGACGAGAATTAAAACAAGCTCTTGATAATATTCGTTATATAGCTGCACATTGTGCACATGAATCATTAATTGAATCTATACGTGATGAATGGAAATTTATTGCAACTGTTATTGATCGTCTTCAATTTATTATCTTTTTAACAGTAACAATAATTGGATCATTAACTTTACTTTTTCAAGTATATAATTTTATTTTTCATAAACTGCTTGTTTTTATTTTTATTTGATAACTTGTTCTACTGTGTTTTTTCAAATAGGTACCTCATATATTTCGACTTGGTTCAAATACTTCTGGAACACTTGTACGATTTTCAAATCCTAATACGACTATTCATGAACTAATTCCAAAGACTTGAACATAGACTATAGATTAAACTAAAAATAAAAGACGCTTTTTAAATTTTTTTGGTTTTTTTTTTAATCAAAAAAATTATCTTGAATAAATCTAAACGAAAATTATTCTTCATCATTCAATAATATAATTTTATCTTTGATAATTTATCCGATATGTATGCCGTTTTATATTTTACTAGCAACAGCAAAACTTATATCCTATACTTATTCACATCAAATAATCAGACGGTAAGATCGTACCTCTGCTCTTGTTGTAAAAGATCAAACGAAAACCGTACAAAAAAAAACATAGTCTCAAACATTTTACGCTAAGTCGTAATTATAAGATCTTGCTGTCTTGTAAGCAGAGCTACCAATTTCAGACGACTCGAATAGGATACATAATTATTTCAAAAATCAAGGGTATAGAATTGGGAATATGGTTGAAAAATGCATTTACTAGTCAGACAAACTCTATTATTATTATTCTTTGTGCAAGATATGGTCTGTAACGTTCATTTAATTATGAGAAAATAAGTTAGCACAAATCTTTTTATATGACTTCAGTTTTATTTGCTTCTCGTACATTTGATCATTTCTAATTGAAATTGTACAAATATATAAAAATTTGTACATTGAATTATTTACTTTAATGGAATTTTCAATGTAGTAGCAACTGTATCAATTATCATGAAATTTCAGCTTGATGTCCATACGTAATTCATATGACTGAATATGCCTTCTGCAAACACACGTAATTAAGGCATTGAATAAACATTTGTGTTTTGATTGATCACTAGCATATAATCGGTGTGTAGCCGTAAAAAACTAATGGAAAATTCGATGTACTTTTTAGCATGAGATTGAAAAATCAGAAAAACGACATTAGCTTGAATAGAAAATACTTCCCTTTATTTTGAACATATAATTACGACTCAACTCTATCGTGTAATCTTTGATAAGACGAAAAGTGTTGGTCACACTTAATCCGATAAATTCTTAATATTTACGCGATAACACATTTTCAACAAACTTTAGATGTGTCAATATGTGACGCTTCTGTTAGTTGTCATTCAACATTATACTAAACGTAGCTATTAAGTCAGAAAGAGACAAATATTGGTATGTTATTTCCTTGTAGATAAAGAAAAAAATTTCACGGAAATATATAAGTAATGAATGTGGTACGTATTTGTAATTGGTATGATTTTATTATTCTGATTATAAGTGAGAATTATTTATGAGCTATTGCATCATTTTAATGTACAATATTTTGGATTTTGTATTGAAAAACTATCAATATATTTTATATATTTACATTTGAATTTATTTTATTATTCTGAAAAGCTATCTGAAAAAAATTTCTTCGAACATATATAAAAAAAACAATTTAACTTAAATAGCCTATCATTTATTTTATAGCATAAATGACAAATGAATATTTTGACAACTTAATAACTAGTTTCATTGTCAACACATTAACCAATAAATTATCATCTTCAATGACTTGTCTTAATTATTTTATTTTCTAACTTTGATGTTCTTAACTTGAATTTATACATATGGAATTTTATTTTTCGAATTAAAACTATTCTACTAAATCAACAATCCATAACGATAATCTGACATATACATCAACACATGCATTCTTATCCTCTTGATAGACAACATTCCAAAAATGCATACATATATATATGCATAACGGCATCACTACACCTTAAGGCTATTCCATTTCAATGAAATTGATATTTGATATCAGAAAAGTGTAACAATAACAAATGGTTAAAGATTTTATTATTATTTTTTAAAATGTTTTTCTAACGTTAAAACATATACATCATTTGATCACAGCTGGAAGTATAATAGTTGATCGACATGTGAAAAAAAAGAAAGAAAGAAAGATAATCTATGTAAATGTAAAAAACGAAAGACAGATGATTATAGAACATATTTGTTTTTATTGTAAATGAGAGTAAAACTGTAAAAACACGACTGTCATACTTTTGTCTGCTTAAGCACAGTAGGCATTCCATGTTTTTCATTGATCACCACAGGAAATGTAATTGATGACAACAGACAGACAGACAGACAGATAGATAGATAGATAGACAGACATATAAGAAAAGCATCATTTTCCTTTACCGATCGATTGATCGATTTATTGAAAAGAATATGTGTAGTTGTCTGTCAATCACAACAATGATCATTTTTAATCTTTTAATAACAAGGAAGCATTCTTTACTTTATTCTTTTTGAATAATTTCTTCTATTGAAGTCGTGCAAAAATATCGCTCGATTAGTTTTTATTGTCATTTGACTGAGTTCATTTTGATGATATTTTAACAAAAATGAAACGTTCAATCATGTGTAACAAACATATAAAAATAAAATTGACAGAGAATGTCTTATTTCAATTTTGGATTTAAATACACGCGTCATTACTCATTGAACTCATTTATAACATGCATATGGACAACAAATGAAAGGATGAGCCGAATTGGTTTTCTTTTTTTTGTTTTTTGTATTCAGGTACAACAATAAAATAGATGTATTCAATCAATTTCTTTTCTTTTTTTCGTTTAAAATGACTAGTAATCGATGTTATTGACCACAGGCAATATTAACAAATTCACTTGGAATAACATCAAACAAAAGCATTGAAAATTCAAGAAATTTATTCACACTGGGAATATATTCTGTTATTGTCTATACATATTCTTAAGTGAACTACTCGGAAGAGAGAGAGATGTGTTTTTTTATTTTAATTGCCTTGTTATTCCATAAGTAGTCATTGAAAAATCTACTTCCTTGATAAAGCTATTTCAACAGAATATAGCCTGTTGTCAATTGAATGAACAGCAGTAGTCGAAACACTAATGAGTTGTTCACACCTGTATGACAGACGAAATGACAAAGTATCATTTGATGGTACATATACATATACATATGAAATATAGCTTAGCTTTTTCTTTCTAATCTTTTTTTTTCATTTATGTTTGTTGTCAAACAATCGATCGATATATATATCGATCAAATTGAAATAGAACAGAGATCATTTACAACAAGTTTTTATTCTTCGAAGGAAACAAAAACGAAAAGAACTGATAAATGACAGAGACATATTGTCAAATATTTAAAACATTTAAATAAGTTTTTACTTTTTATTTTTATTTTTATTTTTTTGTCAATGTTATGTTGTAAAACAAGAAATGCACAAATAGCCTTGAGCTTTTTTTCCATTATCAATTCTTTGCATGTTTATATAAATTTTTCGAGGTTTTTCAATCGTCGCCTGTTTATTCAACAGATGTGCTTCTAATTGTGAGCAGGGCGTGTATATATTAAACGAGAAGAAGAAGAAGGAGGAGATTGAACAAAAAGGAAATAGCAAAAACAAGACATTGACAAACACGCACATGTATGCACACGCGCGCGCGGAAATCGTTAATTTCAGACAACGATAAATCGCCCTAAAGCTTCATTCTACTTTATCCATACATATATAGATATATATGTATATTAGAAAAAAAAAGGTCAATGGCATTTAATGCGATTGCTAATAGACATCCAACGATTTTCTTAACGTAATCTATAGATAAAAAAAATTTAAAGAAATTTAACATAATTATATATGCTAGAAAAGTGATGAACACTGTAGCATAAAATATGAGGAGATATGTATTCTTTTGTTTAGTACATTAACATAAAACCTTGAAAAAAGTATATTAAAACATTGGTGTGTATGCGTCAAAGGATTTCCGTTTATAATTCATGTTCTTTTTACATGACAAAAGAATTCTTTTATTATTATTATTACTATAAACACACACACACACACACATACATACATATTGACTTGTTCAACAAAGCAAAAAAAAAAAAAAAGAAAAAAATGAATAATTATTATGCCCAAGCAAAAAATAGATATAAATAAAATTCCTCTTTGGTTTTTTTTAATGTTTTCATACTAGAATATGTGTCCTAGTTGAATGTATTTGACAATTATATACAGGTGGGATTTGTTGATATATATGATAAGAATCATTTGCCAATTGACTTGTATCAGTTGATGAATGTATTGAACATTCACTTGTATCACAACTATGTTGTTGTTGTTGTATTTGTGGATAACTTATAATATTTAATGGACGATAAAATATAGAAGAACGAAGTGGTGGATGATATAATGTATTTGTTGGTAATTTTTCAATAGAATTTGATAATTTATCTTTTGATATATTACGTATACGCCAACAACAAACAATAATAAGCATTATAGAAACAAATATAGCTCCAAGAATTATTCCAATAAGAAGATAAATAAATTGTAATGATTGATCATTTTCATGTTTATTTGATGATAAAATAAGTGATGATGATTTTATTTGTTGTAATTGAATATTTCGACAATATTTATTTTGTCGAATATTAAGACAAATCAGATAAATTGATGAAGATTCATTTAAATAATTTTTTATATCAATTTCAATTGAACTTTGATCACCATCAATTAAACGTTGTAATATAATATGACGATTTATATCATCGTATATTTGTAAATGAAAATATCTTGGTAATGTTGATAACATATATTCCCATGTTATAGTTAACATACCATTTGGATTATATGATATATCATTTATTATTAATTCATCAATTCTAGTTGATGTACTTGTAGTTTTAATAGATGTTAATTGTGTACTTGTTGATCTATATATAATAAATAAATAAATAAAGAAATAACCTTCAAAATGAATTCTAATGGGAATAAAAATGTAACACGCAATCAAAGTAAATGAGAAAATTTATGTTCCGTGATTAGAAATACAAAATTATAGAGTTTTTTAATTTGCTGAAACAAAAAAAAAGCTTTCAATTTAAATAACATCTGATTTCGACTAAAACTCGATTGTGTACATATATAGAATGTATTTTTTGGAATTCTAAGTGTTCTGTTTGTAATAAAAAAAAAATTTACTTAATAATAGATGAATTTTGACTAGATTGACATTGAGAATAATCA